TCGTACCCATCCTGTGCGCAAGAAAGCAAGCGAGGCGCGCGAGTCTCAGGCCATCTTCGGGGAGAGAGGATACCCAATATAGTTCCCAACCATCCTGTGGTGTTGGGTCCTCGTTTTGAAGAGACGGTGCCCCGCGTCTCCTTCCTCCTTCCTCCTCCTCCGCCTCCTCCCCCTCTTCCCTGCGTTTCACCCGCCCAATACAGCGTTTCGTAGCCCCATAGGAGCTCCGCCGAAGGCCCCAGTGCTGCCGTCCGCATGCGTCCCGCACACCCAATTCGGGCACACCCCTCACACGTTTCGTGGCCCCATAGGGAGCTCCACCGAAGGCCCCATGGCTGCCGTCCGCATGCGTCCCGCACACCCATTTCGGCACACCCCTCACACGTTTCGTGGCCCCACAGGGAGCTCCACCGAAGGCCCCAGTGCTGCCGTCCGCATGCGTCCCGCACACCCATTTCGGCACACCCCTCACACGTTTCGTGGCCCCATAGGGAGCTCCACCGAAGGCCCCATGGCTGCCGTCCGCATGCGTCCCGCACACCCATTTCGGCACACCCCTCACACGTTTCGTCACCGCCCCATGGCTGCCGTCCGCATGCGTCATTTCGGCACACCCCTCACACGTTTCGTGGCCCCAGGGAGCTCCACCGAAGGCCCCAGTGCTGCCGTCCGCATGCGTCCCGCACACCCATTTCGGCACACCCCTCACACGTTTCGTGGCCCCATAGGGAGCTCCACCGAAGGCCCCAATGCGTCCCGCACCCCAGGCACACCCCTCACACTTTCGTGGCCCCACAGGGAGCTCCACCGAAGGCCCCATGCCGTCCGCATGCGTCCCGCACACCCATTTCGGCACACCCCTCACACGTTTCGTGGCCCCATAGGGAGCTCCACCGAAGGCCCCAGTGCTGCCGTCCGCATGCGTCCCGCACACCCATTTCGGCACACCCCTCACACGTTTCGTGGCCCCATAGGGAGCTCCACCGAAGGCCCCAGTGCTGCCGTCCGCATGCGTCCCGCACACCCATTTCGGCACACCCCTCACACGTTTCGTGGCCCCACAGGGAGCTCCACCGAAGGCCCCAGTGCTGCCGTCCGCATGCGTCCCGCACACCCATTTCGGCACACCCCTCACACGTTTCGTGGCCCCATAGGGAGCTCCACCGAAGGCCCCATGGCTGCCGTCCGCATGCGTCCCGCACACCCATTTCGGCACACCCCTCACACGTTTCGTGGCCCCACAGGGAGCTCCACCGAAGGCCCCAGTGCTGCCGTCCGCATGCGTCCCGCACACCAGGTGTGTGGCGTGCCGACATGGGCGTCGCGGCGCGCGGGCGCTGCCGTCGGGGTTCCCAGGGAAGCCCCCTGCAGAGGCGACGCTCAGAGTCACGAGTACCGAGAGTCACGCAGACCCAAACTGTTCACAGTCGTATACATACATTTACACTGGGCGTATCCATGCACGCATTCATGCGAATAGAATCAATCGCGCGCAGATTCATTCATAATCAGACTCGCTCGCGATCCGACTCGCACGCGCTCAAGCTTTCATATTCGGACCTATCGTCTTCGTTCGTGTTGTGTACACTGCCACGCATTTCGGCACACCCCTCATACGGCTCGTGGCCCCATAGGGAGCGCCACCGAAGAAGATATTCACAATTGCGGTACTCTCAACTGCATATGGTTGGGTCCTTCGCCAGGCTAATATAATGTTTTAAAGCTGGGTGCGCAATCACCACGTCTGTAATTCTGCCCCTTCCGCCCGTCCCCCTCTCATAGCACTGAGTCCTCTTTTGCTCGCTGAGTGGAATGTCCTAGCAGACCTTGATCCTCAACTGGTAGCCACAGGACCACCGATCGTTTGCAGTACGACCCGCAGGTTTTTTTGTCGTAAGCGGAGAGGGGAGAGGAGGATGAGAAGGAGGATTCTGATGTTGAGGAGGAGGAGAAGCGGAGAAACAACGGGAGGAGCTTGAGGATCAGGGGTAGTCTGAGGAGGGGATGAAGGGAGCGGCAACGACGAGAAAACAATCATATCCAGAAATGCGGCCCGCGCTGGGGCGAGAGCGCCATTCCGAACGCGACAGGCAATCCGCCGCTCCTGAAATGAAGCCAGTGCTGCAGCGGGAGCACCGTCTTGAAGGACAAAAGACGTTCCACATGGAACGAACACATGTGCTATCACTATATCCTGCGTGTGGTGTGATGTGGTATGCTGGGAATGGGAATGATCATGAAGCAGAGAGAGAGAGAGAGAGAGAGCCATACATAGGTCACGCACGCTTTCTGTACACATATAAGGTATACATACATATATACATACATGACCTATGAAGAGAGAGAGAAAGAGAGAGAGAGAGAGATAACGAGACAACGAGAGAAATACATACATAGAGAGAGAGAGAGAGAGAGAGAGAGACAGAGCGAAAGAGAGAGAGAGAGAGAGAGAGATAGAGATCACGTTTTTTTTGTTTCTCTTCTGTGCTCTCTCTCTCTCTCTCTCTCTTTCTTTCTGTGTACACATATCTAGATACTAGTGTGGACCCGTGGATGAAATTCACGGAGTTGAGGGGGATCGAATTTTGGCGGGGCGTTTTGGGGTGTGCGACGTAGTCAGCGATCGCCGTAGATCTCGCGATGATTGTTCGAATGGCGTTCCCCTGCCGCGGGCGGCCGGCAACACCAGGGGGGAAGGGAAGAGCGGCGGAGTTGCGCGCGGCAGGAAGGGCGACGAGGTGCAGGGGCAGGAGGGAGAGACAGTGCGGAGGAACGGCAGCAGAGCGAATGGAGGAGCAAGGGAGGACTTGAGAGAGGATGTGCTGGGCGCCTGGAGGTTCGCATTGGCGGGTTGGACGACTGAGATGGGGGTGAGAAGCTAAGCATCGTCCTTCCTCTTCGGGCTCCGCCTTTTCGTCCTCTCCTCGTCACCCACCCGATCTTTCTCTCCCGTCTCGTGTTGTTGCATTCTTTCTTCCGCTCCCCTGCCCTCTGCACGCGCGGCGAGCGATTGGGGCGGCGATGGGGCGGCGCGTGTCGTCGTCGTCGTCGTCGCCGTCGTCGTCGTCGTCGTCGTCGCCGTCGTCGTAGCGGAGCAGAAGCGCGAGGAACACGAGGAACGGGAGGAGCGGGCAGAAGCGTGGGGAAGCGAGGAAAAGGGGAAGGCCTCGCTGGGAATGGGTGGGGCCTCTGGTCTGTCATCCGCCCCCAACTGTAGGAGGCATATGTGTAGCCTGTTGGAAGTCGTTGGGGGCCCTGTGGGAAACCCTTATGGAACTCCTGGGGGAGCTCCTGGGGCCCTCTTGGGCCTTGTAGGACGCATGTCGGGCCGTCTTGGGGCCGTCTTGGGCCATTTTGGACGCCTCTTGGGCCGTCTTGGGTACATCTTGGGCCGTATTGGGCCCCTCTGGGGCTCCTCTTAGGGTCCTCTTGGGCCGTCTTGGGAACCTTGTGGACCGTCTCGGGGCCGTCATGAGCCATCTGCGGGCCTACTTGGAAGCTTCTTGGGCGGTCGTGGGACGATTTTTGAGGCCTCCGGGGCTGTCGTGGACGCGGGGGCGCGAGTTTGCTGAAAACGTCAGTTTTCCGAGGGGAATGTGGCGATTTTTGCTGGATTAGGCTCTCTCTCGGGAGTCCCCAGGGGCCCTCTCTGGGGTCCCCTGGGGCCCTCTTGGTGCTGTTGTGGCCGTCAGGGTAGCACCCTGGGCCGCCCGAGGGCCGTCGTCGGGGCTCTTCAGAAGTGTTCTGGCGCCGTTTGGGGGCTCTCGGGGGGCCTTCGGGTGCCCTTTCGGGGCCCCCGGGGAGCTCGGGGAACCGGGAGTCCACGCCAACCTGCCAAGGTACTTACGGATTTATTGAATCGCTTCGTTCATTCCGCCGGCCCATGTAGCCTCATCTCTGCTGTTTGCCCGAGGGATCGTTGTCAATGCGGCGTTGGTGGGGTTTTCTTGGCACGCGTTTCGGGAGTCTCTTGGAGGCGGTGTTGAAGCCTCTTGAGGTCTCTTGGGGGCTGTTTTGGGGGCCTTGGGGTTTTGTTTTTGGGCATCCTGGGGGCTTGGACTCGGTGGGCATTTGGGGTGCCTCCTGAGGGCGCTTAGGGGGCCTCTAGGGGGCCTCTTGGGGACTTCCTGAGGGCGTCTTGGGGGCCTCTTGGGGCTTCTTGGGGGCCTCTTGGGGCTTCCTGGGGGCCTCTGAGGGCCGAGAGTTCGAGATTTCGTTTCGTGTTCCCTTTCTGGGGTCCCTCTTGAGGCATTCTTGGGGTCCTCTTGGGGCCCTCTTGGGCTGTCTTGGGGGCTTCTTGGGCCGTTTAGGGAGCCGTCTTGGGCCGTCTTTGGCCGTCTCGGGGCCCTCTTGGGGGCCTCTTGGGCCCTCTTGGGGCGATCTTGGGGACCTCTTGAGCCGTCTAGGGGCGTCGGGGCCCCGAAAAGGTGGAAACGCCCAAATTTGTCAAAAACCTAAGGGAAAGCAATGACTTTTGCTTATGTGGGTTCTCTTGGGAGTGCTCCTGGAGGCCGTAGTAGAAGTAGCAGCAGCAGCAGTCGTCGTCGTCGTCGTCGTCGTCGTCGTCGTCGTCGTCGTCGTCGTCGTCGTCGTCGTAGTAGTAGGAAGTAGTAGTAGTAGTAGTAGTAGTAGTAGTAGTAGTAGTAGTAGTAGTAGTAGTAGTAGTAGTAGTAGTAGTAGTAGTAGTAGTAGTAGTAGTAGTAGTAGTAGTAGTAGTAGTATTAGTAGCAGTAGTAGTAGTAGTAGTAGTAGTAATCGGCGTAGTAGTAGTAGTAGTAGTA